AAGTTCTCGAGCATTCTTTGCTCGTCAAGTATAATTGTTAACGCAGTGGTTCAGTAGGCCTGAGCCCCTATGGCATCTCCTGCGTATATAATATAGAGCTCGCCGCCTTCAGCATTCAGCTCTAATATTATATACCGCAAGCCGAGACCTCATTCCTACGTTTGCTACAGTTGCAGTGGAATTAAAGTAAATGCGCGACCCTGGTGTTTGCGGCGTGGTTCAAATTCCATCGGACGCACTAGCCAAGCCTTCCTGTGTTCGGCCAAATAACGCATGTGGTCAATTTTGGTTCAAGCCATCACATTTGGACGTAGCCTTTCCCATTACCTTTGCCCGTTCGGCACTTTCTCCATTTGAGCACAACAGCAAACAAAACGGACTAACTTAAGGCCCAGCATATGCCTTCAGAGAAGCTTTGCCTAAGCCCCAGCAGCCTGCTCTTCTAGCACTGTAGAAAAGCGGTCTGCTTGGCGCCTTGGCACTGCAGCACAAAAGTATCAGCCCTGCATTTCTGCAGGCTCAGCAATACACTCGAAAATCAAGTGAGGCTTGCCTCCCCTGCTACTGGTACAAATGCAACTGCTGCAGCAGGAATCGCCAAGGCGGTCTGTTTGCTTTCAGTGCCTACGCTCGCTTTTGCAGGTGCTTCACCTGACGCGTTTGTGAATTTTTCGCGGACAAACAGTGATTTTCTCTGCAATATGTTATCAGCATGCCGTTTGCGCATAGCTTTATGTGCTCCTTTGGGAGAGCCACGGAGTTCGGACACTTCACTCTTGGTGCCTCTGCTGGTTACTGCAGTTGCTACATCTGAAGCAGCTGCTGTTGCAGCGTCTCCAGCTGTCTCCTTAACTGTGAAGACTGGATCAACGAGCTCATTCGCAGAACAGCCGCAGGCACGATTGCTTGCTTGAATTGCTGCATTTGTTCTCGGCTTCCTTCGTTCGCCACCGTGTTCGGAGCTAGCGCCTCAATTTGCTTTGGTCCCTGCGGCACATCGTTCAAAAACTCGTGCACTGCGTGCTAGCTTTAGACGAGGAGTCGAAAAGCTCAGAAGATAGCAGTGGTAAGCAACAAAGCAACCACGAAAAAATGGCAAGCTGAAGGATCACCAAATATCTTCAAAAGAACTTTTCCTGTGCAGGCTGCAGCATCCGGCTTGTCTAGGATTTTATAATAATAAAACTCTGTAGGGCCGCTGCGCACTGCAGCACAAACAAATCAGGCCTACACGCCTGAAAACTCAGCAACGAACTTGAGAAACCAAGTTATGCGGCTATACTGTGCATACTCAAGGGATAGTCAAGTTGCGAACAAGAAGTTGAGAAGTGTAAGACAAGAACTCAAGCAAGTCCTGCTTGAAGTTTCACGTCCACCTACACCTTGTCTGCTCCGCATGGCGTGAAACCACGACGCTCATCTCTTCCGTTAGTGCCAACAAATCGCGTGTAAACTGCAATGTCATTACCACCCCACAACAGCGCTTTGCCAATGGTCCCAGCTGTGGCTAAATGCCATTGCCACACGAGGACTGGAAGACTAACCCACTGAGCCAGCCGTCTCTCAAACGGGTTTTCTAATAATAGCCTTTCCCTAACTTGGCCTAAGAAGCTTTGATTTTTCATTTCCTGCAGGGAAATCACAGATACGCCAAACACAGCTGGAACTGCTAGGGATAGTCAAGTTGCGAACAAGAAGTTGAGAAGTGTAAGACAAGAACTCAAGCAAGTCCTGCTTGAAGCTTCACGTCCACTTACACCTTGTCTGCTCCGCATGGCGTGAAACCACGACGCTCATCTCTTCCGTTACTGCCAACAAATCTCGTGTAAACTGCAATGTCATTACCACCCCACAACAGCGCTTTGCCAATGGTCCCAGCTGTGGCTAAATGCCATTGCCACACGAGGACTGGAAGACTAACCCACTGAGCCAGCCGTCTCTCAAACGGGTTTTCTAATAATAGCCTTTCCCTAACTTGGCCTAAGAAGCTTTGATTTTTCATTTCCTGCAGGGAAATCACAGATACGCCAAACACAGCTGGAACTGCTCCAGACGTTGATCTATAACCAGGCATTCATTTCACCAAATTGCTGTTCGCCTCCCTACAGGCAAAAAGAGGGTGTGAGGTGAGTAATAAACAAGGCACTTACTTTCTCCACTACCTCAATATGCAAGGTCACTGCACCAACGCCGGGTATATTACAGTCCGCCTTGACCATAGCTACAGGGACACCCAATATACGCAGGAGAGGGCAATGAAAGTTAGCACCAAGCATGCAAGCCACAGTTCAAGGAGCTCTCCTTGTGCGGAAATTCCGGAGTATACTTATCTGCATTGGCTCTTACAGGCCCTGTCCGTGCTGCTGCTGCTGTTGCTTCGCATTGATTCATGTAGAATCAATGTCCGACTCGGGTATCGCATTGATTCATGTAGAATCAATGTCCGACTCGGGTATCTTACCTCGAAATGGTTCGTCATGGGGAGAGCACAAGTTACCCACGGATTCCGCGAACTTCAGTAGCTCTTGTCGTAGCTCAATATAGTTCTGAAATGCGCAAGGCACACGACATGCACCGCGTCTAGGGGGCTTTTGGAGCATCGGTAATCAACCACAAATTAAACAACACCCACTGAGTCCTATGAAAGGGGGGCCTGCATAGGAACCATGCAGACGGTTTTGCTGCTGTTGCTATACTTTGGACCTACTAATGCCTTGAGATGCGGAAAGTCATAAGGTTTTCCCAAATCTCTATAGTGGGGAGACTTCGAGTCCCCCAAGGCCAACTTCGTGAAATGACGCCTGCCTTTCTCAGGTTGAGGTGCCTTTGAACTGCTGGCAGCAGTCTCACCCGTTGCTTCTTCTGGTGCTGGGTTTGCTGCCACATCAGATTTTCCTGCGACGCTCGTTATTTTCTTGCCGGCAGTTTCCAAGAGGCCAGCCACCGGCCCCATCCACCCCGAACGCCCTTGCCTTTCCAGTTTATGTTCCTCAGCTGCTTCTCTAGCAGCTACCTGAGCATTGTGTGCCTCGGCGCTTGTGGTCTCGGCATTGGTCACGGTACTCTCTTGATCACTACATACAACGTCAATTTAAACATGGCCGCAGTCCCTGCCGAAGTCGTCATCCTCGTCATCTGCTGCTGCTTCTGGAGCTGCTGCCGCGGCATCGCCAGGTGCGTTGTCTTCACAGCTGCCGCTGACGCCTTCCTCTGCCGCTCCTGTTCGTGGTGCTTGAGTGCTTGCTGCTTCCGACTGTGGAGGAGACTCGTCGTGGGCGTCTGGTGATGTTTGACGGTCATCAAACTTCAGGTCTCCGGACGGACTATTTTCATTGGAGTTCTGAGTGACGCGCCAAAAAGCGCACGCAGGCAATAGCGCACGCTGGGAATGGAGCACAGGGGTGAGACGGAAACTACACACGGCATGAAACTGTTGGCTCTGATACATATGAAGTGCAGATTTCCTACACCTACTTGCAAGGGTGATGAGATGTCACCACCCGAGTTTGAATCTTCTTGCCTTTCCACTCTATGTTCCTCACAATCTTTTCCAGCAGCTCGAGTCGGAGTCGTCATCCTCGTCATCTGCTGCTGCTTCTGGAGCTGCTGCAGCGGCACCGCCATATGCTTCATCCTCACAGCTCCATCCTCACAGCTCCTGCTGACGCGTTCCTCTACTGCGCTTGCTCCTGGTGATGTTTGACGGTCATCAATCCTCAGGTCTCCGGAAGGACTGTCTTCATCGGAGTCCTGAGTGACGCGCCAAAAAACGCACGCTGGGAATGGAGCACAGGGGTGAGACAGAAACTACACGCGACACGAATCTGTTATGTCTGATGCATTTGAAGTGCGGATTTCCTTCACCTACTTGCGAGGGTGATGAGATATCAGCACCTAATTCTGAATCTCCAGTCCTGCAACCATGTTCCGACAAGTGCTGTAATTGACGTCGAGCGCAGAGAGCCACAAACAGCACGACGGCGGAGTAAACTAGCAGCTTTAGTGCTGTGGAGTATTGCCAATATACCCCTACCACTGGCAAGCCAGACCCTGAAATAGGTCGAGTAGCCTGAGAGAGTAAACCTGAGTCCCGACTCTTTGTCGGGCTAGGGGACCACTCATAATGGAATTCCTCCCCCATGAGTGCCGATTAAGAA